GGATTTGAACACCCAACCTACCACTTGGGGGGTTGACAACCTGACCACTTCACTAGGTCGCCACACCCCTATTTTTTTTGATTTTTTATATATAAATATAAATAATTTAATTTATAGTTTTATATAATTATTTAAATAAAATAATATTAATATAATTTATTTAAATAAAAAAAATTTAAAAATTTATAAAAAAACCTTATATTTTATAATTGATTTTAAAACTTTAAAAAATTCAATAAAAATTAATCAGTTATATAGTTACTAATTTAATAAGTTTTATTAATTTTTGCTTCAAATATAATTATATCTGAAAAGGATGATGATCCTAATATAGTGATTGAGTTGTCATTCTTCAAGCAGTATGTCCAATGTTCAATTCCCATCAGTGACAAAATTTTGAAAAAATGGTTTTATTCTAACAAACTTATCTGTAATCTAAGATTTGTAGATTTGTAATTCTAATTATACTAAGATTAACTTAGGAAATGTATAATATTATACAAATAAATCTGGAAAGTATATACTCAAATTAAAAGCTTATTTGAAAATTCTAAACAGAGAGGTAATACAATTTTTGATGATGCCATCTGTGAAGATCTTGATCTAAAGAAGAAAACTTGGATAGATAATCTGTATAGACAAGAATCTCTAGGTAGGAGGTTCACCAACCTGACTACCAGTTGATTTGGATATAAAGTTGCATCATGCAGAGCTAACTGAATTGGTAGTATAGAAGAACTTGCAAGAGTAGACAAAATATTAGTGAGGTTGTAAAAGGAGAGTACTAAGGTTGTATAAACTTTGTAAAAATTATAAACTAGGTTTAGCTATAAATTGAGATATAGAAGGCTCTAGTAACAATATTTTAAAAATAACCTGCATAAAATAAGACAGAGGTTCTAAAGGTATGATATGCATCTAGAACTTCTCGACTGACATCATATAACAGAAATGCTTTAGTGATACAGTAAGAATTGCAATACAGAAAGTTTAAATAGGCAACACCTGTAGTTGGGTTGCAGGTATAGCAGCTAATATAAAATCTATATATAGATAGACTACTTAAATTAGATACCAAAAGTGTATATATGATTAGATGTACTTTTTAATGTAAGGTAACTCCTCTGAGATAATCAAACCATGAGCTACTGTGTTCTACTATACTAAATAAAAAAACTCTAGTTTCCAAAAGACTAGTTTAATTGAAAAAAAAATAATAATTATATTTAAATTAAAAATTTATTATTGCCAAATTTAAACTTATTGAATTAACAAATACTTAGTTAATTTTTTCAAAATTATGAAAAAAGCTATGATAACTGCTGAGTTTTAAAAAAATTCATATATAAAATTTTTAAAAAAGCTGACCAACCAGTTTGTTTAAAAATTTTGTTATAAAAACAATAAAAAAAATTTGTATGATTTAATATAAATTATTGGTTAACATTAATTACCAATTAATATACTATATATATATATAATTAAAATATTACTAATTTGTTTCTTTGGTTAATATAACTATTCTTTTATGGTAACTCAAAAACGACTTAAATAACTACTAAATAAAAATGTTTAATACTATAAAAAACTTGTTCTATCCTTAACTCTAACCCTAATTCCAATTTTAACTTTATTTTTAATATTATTCTAATTTTGATTTTAAAATTTTATAATAAATATTAGATGAATGAAGCTTATAATCTTAACCCCCGGTTGTTAAATTTAAAAAATTATTTTATAATTAATTAATTAATTATAATTAATTATATAATTTTCAAATTTGATATTTCGAAAAAATTGGATATTTTTAGCTGTACACAAACCAATAAAAAATAAAAATATAGTTATATAAAAAAAAAATTGTGTAATTTGTGATTAGTGCACATTTGTAATTATATCGTATCGGGAGGCATATACCGATTTGTAATTCTATCGTATCGGGGGCGTATACCAATACATACTGTACAGCGTGGACTAAATTACCTGCGGGTTTTAAAATATTATTTATATATGCATGTGATGTGCAATGTATATGATTTATAAAAAAAATCGCAACAGGGTACTTTAGTCCACGCACTTATTCTGCAAGTAATATAAGCCAAAAAAGAAAACTTTCTTATACGTATAGATCATAAGATCAGATGCAACTTTGGCGTAATATAAAATTGAAAGCTTTTTCAAAAAAAATTATTAGTAACTCAAATTTTTGTTAACGATTGCATTTATGTTTTAATTCAAAAAAAAAAGTGGTATATATTATTGTTGTCCGAAGCGTAGCGAGGATGTTAAAGATATCTAATCAAATTATATAACATAACTTCCGCATATCGACAGTGATCGTGACATTCCGAACTAGTCTGATTATTAACAATTACTATATTAATTACGTCTCTTATCAGATTCTGATAACCTAGTCCTATGACCCAAACGTCATGACTTTCGCGTACATATTACGTATTAATGCGAATAGACTAATAAGTCAATAAGTATTTTTGTCTTGTATCACTTGCAGAATAAGTAAATCCCTACTGGAGTACGTATGTACGTGATACGTACAAGCTCAAAAAGAAAATTTCCTTATGTAGGTCATCAGATCAGGTGCAACATCGGTGTAACATTGGATCAAAGGCTTTTTCGACAAATGACCCTTTTTACGTACAATTATACGTAGTATGAATTTTTTAAACCAATAAATTAAAAGATTTTTCCTTTTTTGGGATTGTATCATTTGCAGAAATAAGTAAATCCGATATTGGAGTAGCTTAGCAAATTAGCCAATAGTGAAGCACAATATTGTGTAATGCAAACCAATCTTTTTTGTTTATTTTTCAAAAAATTTACATACGAAACTACCTTCTGAGATCTAACAAAAAGTTCAATTTTATCATAACCTACTAACATTAAACGCTAATATAAGCACATACCTTAAACTTCAATACCTTAAACTTCAAAGAATTTTATTACCGAGCACGTAATATAGCATGATATATATCTTATATATAAGCTTCGTGTAACTTCTCAAATATTCGAGAAAAATATAAATATTTATTATCACGTAATGATAAGCAAAAACAGTTGTTTTCGGAATCACCTAATATATCTGTCACTCTGGTCATGTCACACCACCAAATTCCATAAAATTCTCAAAATCAAATATTAGATTATCGATTTTTAATTTCTGCAGTCTTCATGATATTGATGGCGGGTTTGAGCGAACTTTGAAGATAAGATAATATTCGATCTCATCCATTCTTATTTATGGTAATAGATCGTATCACTCCGGGCCCATTTATATTATATAAGGTGAGTTCACTATGATTTCATCCTTAACAAGGGAAATCTATTTTCCTTGTCTAACATTGAGTTAGTATTGTATATTGATTGATATTGAAATGATTTGCACTGTTCATACAACTTTTTGATCAGAGAATTGAACCAATTAGTTAAGCAATGTCACGATACTTCCATCACTATTTTGGGTATATTGTGATGTCACAATAGGTCACATGTCACATGACATAAATATTTCTAGTTCTTTAACATTTTTAATATAAAAAGACCCCGTGTAGAACATCTCACAGCAGTTAATTAAGCCACATGAAACTTCCTGTCCGTCACTACATTTTTTTTTTATATTAGAACTTATTACCTAACGTTGTTTTTTTTATAACCCCACTTCCCCAAAATTTTTGCTTGCATAAAAACCTGTTGAAATTTGTTTGGCTGTTTAGCATTACTTTCTTGAATGCATCACATAATATCAAACAGATATAAACTCGTATAAATATCGTAAAAAAACCGTTGACATATTTCACCATATTTTCGACAAGTTTATTCTTTGATTGAGCGAACGAACAAAGATTGCAAATATTTTAATAAAAAAAAGAAAATATTTCAAAACTTCACATAAGGAAGAGACAAACAAATAGCATTTTAAGACAAGATGTCTTCACGTTATATTTACATTTCGTTGCTCGTATTATGTGCGCCACTTATCATTCTTGTGGTAGCATCTTTCACCTCACTGGCGATCTTTACTTCCACACTGGCGGTGGTAGTTATTTCAATCCGTCTAGCATTCCTTATGGTTGAATTCTCCTGTGGCGTCGCTTTAGACTTTGCTGGATGGGGTGCAAAGAAATTCATGAGCAAAGATCTGACGAATGCCAATAATTCATCGTCAAGTATTAAAATAAAAGAATCACATATTTCCTCTGCTAACAAACAGTCTGGAAAGAAACTCAAGAGTAACAACTCTAGCTTGTACAGTAATCACAGTAATCATACATATTATAAGAACAGTAGCATAAAACCACTTTCAAAACATTCTCCAAAAGTACCAGTATGGGATGTTGATACTTTCGATGGCCTTGGAGATAACGGTTTTGTTAGCAATGATGATTATTTCACGATGTCACCGATTTCTAACAAGAGACCAGACGGCAGGAGGGTTAGAAGTGGATATTTGTGAAGCTTATAATTACTTTGTTATCTTAAATCCAAAACTATTCTGTAAAATATTGCATTTTTTTTTGTTTTTTTCTTTATATATATATTTTTTTTCTTTTTGTAGTTTTTTTTTTCCTTATAGGCTTGCTCTGATAGATTGTTAAAAATGATATCTTTGTGTAAAGTAATTAGAATTATTATTCTATATATTAGCAATTACAATTTTACTTATTAGATTAATTTTTTTTTTTTTTTTTGCGGTTTAATTTCAAGTTTTAAGGGCTATTTTGGCATGCATATGCGTACATGCGTACTCTTTTTTTACATTAATAAAAAAATCTAGAAGAATTCATGTTTAAATCAGATTATCGTTATGTCAAAAAAATTTTATAGTTTGCGCCTACTGTTTTAAGTTAATGCATGGTATTTTTGACAATATTTGAACTAACCATTTATGATTTATATGATTGATTACATCACAGCAACTAAGAATGGATAAGTAGACTTTTTATGTATAGAAACGGCTTATCGGCAAATTAACACTGCCGATATGAAACTGATTCTGATTCTATGTGTTTCAATACTTCACTTAAAAAGAAAAATTGAATAATTAAAGATCGACGAGCCCTGAATAACAAACAAAAGGAACTTCCGTTTCAAGAAAGCTTGTAACATTCTCTGATATAAGCGAAAACCTGGAATTTCGATTTTTGCCGGCTCCGCTTTCTCACTCGATTCCTAATAAAATTAAATTAAGCACAACATATATTATCGTTATGGGGTTTGGTCTGTAAAATTAATGTCGGAAAACTCAATTCCTAGTTTTTTCTTGACGACACCCATATTATGACAATTTTGCTTAGATTGTTCCGCCCTCACAGGGACATTCAAAGCGGGCGTTACCGGATTATGTAAAGATAGCAGGGTACCTCTATGACAAGATAATCTTGAGCTACAAATATATATATATAT